ATTACAGTGGGAACATGGAACATAGGAAGTATGAATATGGAAAAGCCAAATACAGTGAAAGATTAAATCAATTGACCATACATTGACATCTCAGGTGATAGCAAATTGAAGTGGACTAGAATTGGACACTTTCAGGGAGAAGATCATACAATTTACTAATCAAAACATGAAAAACAAAGAAGAAATAGTTTTACATTTATGAACATATAACAAGAATAGTCCTTGTCTAGTTTAGTTTAGTTTACTTTATTGTTATTGCACCTCGTACAACAAAATTAAATGTCATCTTCAGTGTACATTATAACTATAAAAATAAAACACAAACACACATCCTTCACATTCTATACAATTGAATTGAAAACCCGATATTACATTAATATTGCACTATACAGTAGAATTCAACATAGTTACTGCCCTGGGATAGAAGCTGTTTTTCAGCCTATTTGTCCTTGTTTTTATTATCCTGTACCGTCTGCCAGATGGTAATTGTTCAAAAAAAGGGTACCCAGGATGAGATGGATCTTTAAGAATGTTCTGAACTTCCTTAAGGCAGCGGGAGCTAGAAAGCTCTTCCAAGGATGTGAGAGGGCAACCAATGCAATAATGATTGAGTAATGTCAGTTAGACTTCACTAGCAATCCTTTAATATGATAATGATCCTAATTTATGATCCGATCACAGAAGAACAGGATTTGATGAGTTTTATGGACAAGTTGAATTTGAAATTGACAGAAATGCAAACAAGATTTGCTGCTTATGATTAGAGACTAGAATTCCAAAGTTGGAAATCATCAGGAAGAAAATGTAACTGAAGTTTATGGATTAGGAAACTGAAATGAAGCTGAAGAATACCTTATCAATTTCTGTGAATCAATACAAGTAGTCCTCATTTAGTGACTGCCACATTTAGTGACTATTTGCAGTTACTGTATGATGATAAAAAAGTAACTTTGTGACCAATCCTCATATTTATGATCTTCACAGGTCTGTAAAGCAAAGAAAAACTGAAGAAAAGTTGCATGTAGTTACAGTTTCTTTTAACAATGCCTTCACTTAACAACCAGGTTGCTGGTCCCAATTGTGATTGCTAAACAAAAAAAAAATACTAATAAAAAACTGTATTTTTTCATTGCTCACACTGTCTTCCATTAATCAAAATGATGCTTGTATATGTGAACTTCAGTAGGTGGACACAGAAATAAAATTGACTATATTATTCAACAATGAGATAGAAGAACTCAGCTATAACAGCAAAGATATGGGAAAGGTCAGACTGTGGAACATGTTACAAAATGATTATGTGCAAGTTCCAAATTCAGCTAAACCAGAAGAAGAAAGTCAATCAATTGCCACAATATGACTGAGTACATACCAGTGGTGGGTTGCCCCTGGTTCGCACCGGTTCTATAGAACTGGTAGTAAAACTGGTGGGAGGCTCCGCCTACCGACCCCAATGTCATCAAAATGCTTCTGCGCATGTGCAGAAGAGAACACGGTCCCATTGCAAACCGGTAGTAAAGGTAAGTAGAATCCACCGCTGGTACATACCCTCTATTGTCAAGGAGAATATTAGAAATCCCTTTGAAGTCCTAAACTTCATTGATGGAGAACTGTGGATTGAATTCAAGAGTTTTTAAGAAATGAATGTGAAAAGAGACTGCCAAAGACCAAGAAACAAAAGAAGGAAAACTAGATGTCAGAACAGATGGAGGAAATTGCTAGTAGAACAGAAATGAGAGCCAAGAAAAACAAAGTTCCCAGGAAGAAACTTAACAAAGACCTGTCAAAAGAGACAAGAAGCAGTATTCCAATGACATATGTAAAGACATTGAAGATTGAAACAGATACAAAAAAGCGAGGAAAGTTTTCCAGAAGATCTTTGAACTCAGAAGTAGATTCCAACCCCCAACCTCATATTGATATGCTATTGATATTATTGGACAACAGTAACTGATTCAAAGAAGATCAAAGAAAGATAGGAGGGGTATACTGAAATTCTGCTTAGTAGACATGCCCAAGATACTCTAAAGCAGAGGTGTCAAACTCGATTTCATTGAGGGCTGCATCAGAGTTATGTTTGACTCTGTGTGTGTCTGTGTATCTCTGTGTGTCTGTGTGGCTGAGGTGGCAATGGCCAGCTCAACATCACTCGTGTCAGGGGTACCTGTGGTGGCACAGGTGGGGCTGGGGGGATCCATTGTCTTCAGTGGAGGAAGGCGAAATCAGGGAGAGTGCTAAACCCATGTCCTCCAGAGGAGCCTTGCCGTTCTTCTCAGGCCAGCTGCGCTTACCTCCTCAAGGCTGCTGCTGCTGTTCTTGCTCTCCTTGGCCAGGTTGCTCATGGTGTGTGCAGGAGGGCAAGGTGTATGGGTCAGAGAGAAGCCCAATCTCTTTCTACGCAAAGAGACCCGGCTTTGTAACCAAAGCATCCTCAGCAATAGGATGGGAGACCAACAGGAGAGGTCAGGAAGAGGAGAAAAGGGGATGGTGAAAGGGCAGCAGGGCTGCTGGTGCCCAAGTACTAAGGCCAGATTTTTTTTCTTTCCTTCCTTCCTTCCTTCCTTCCTTCCTTCCTTCCTTCCTTCCTTCTCTCCTTCCTTCCTTCCTTCTTTCCTTCCTTTTCTTTTTCCTTTCCTCTTCATTCTTTCTTCTTCCTTCCCTTCTTTCTTTCTTTTTTTCCTCCTTACTCTCTTACTATCTTTGTATTACTTAGAACCTTGACACTTTCCTTCTTTTTCTTTGTCTTTCCTCTTTCACTTTCTCCTTTCCTGTCCCTTCTTGGATGCTCAAATGCAAAAGGGAAAACATTTTTCCTTTTGTTTTATTTTGCTTTTGTTTTGTTTTGCTAGTCCTCTGCTAGTGAAAATGGAGCAAGGGGGCTGCGTGTCCCTCTGGGCCCCGTTTTCGGCCAGGTTGGCCTCCTGCAGCCCTCTGCCAGCAAAAATGGAGCCGGCTCGCCTGAGCTCCGTTTTTGCTGGCAGAGGGCTGCAGGAGGCAGCTTCATTATACAAGCATTTTCATTATATTTGAACTTTAAACTCCAGCAGTTATAAGATGAGCTTTCTCTCAGGGTCACTCAGGGTCAGCTATGCCACATAAATTGAAAGAGAATAGAAAGTAAGGTAGTTTATTAGAGGGATTTTTGTGCCTTGAAGTTGAAATTGATACCTGGTAGCTGCCTGGATTAGCCCCTGCAGCTGTCAGGGCTGTGGAACCAGTGGAAAACCAGTTCTGAATCTTCCTGCACTTTCCACAACCTTAAGAAGAAACATTTCCCCATTTCCCAAAACAATAAATCACATTGCCCAATCTGGAAGCTGGCTGGTTGCTTGGTTACCTCCTCTGCCCAGCCAGCCGTTGGAATGCCTCTGACTCAACAGAAAGCTATGCTGTTTGAGTTACACCACTCCCCCTCTTACTCCCCTCTCCAGCTCTAAGCTGTGTCAGCCTGAAACCTTGAGAAAGAAACCCCATAGAAACTATCCGGTCATAGCTAGGTCCGTTTCAGGCCTGACAGCAGCTTTCTTGGCAAGATTTCAGAAATGGTTTGCCATTCCCTACTGCCTAGGGCTACGAGATGCTGAGTGGCCCAAGATCACCCAATTCATGCCTAAGGCCGGGATAGAACCTATCCCCTGGTTTCTAGCCTCTCCCAGTTTGAAGCCTGATGCATTAACTACTATACCAAACTGGCACATATTAGTAAAATAGGTTCTGGAAAATTAGATACTTTTGAAGAAATTGTGCTATAGAAAAGAATGTAAACTCACTGAAAAGTTGTTTAGAGCAGATAGCAGATGAAGAGAGCAGAAAGGAAACAAAGTCAGCATCCAAACTTGTGGTAATGAAAGACAAATTGTTTTTCAAATACAATGAGCAAGATAACTTATTCAATAGAAAGCAATAACTTAATGGGAAGAAAATAAAGAAACTAAAACTAAGATTGTGCTAAACTGCATTTTAAAGCAGCACATATGAATGTAATCTAAAGTAATCGGGCATGCAGATAAAAGTAATATGTTATCCTTTACCTACCTACCTCTCTTCTATTTGTCACTTTTCCTTAGTATTCCTTGACCAAGATGTGTATTTTTTTTTAGGTGATCCTAAAAATAGTCTAGTTGCGAGAGTATTTCTGAACTGTACAATCATCGTGTGCTTCAAGTCGGAGCCTGTCTGGGTAAGCACATTAATGGGGAGCTTTAAATGAGATGAGATGGATGTACAGTTCATCAGTTCCCCATTTGGAAAACCTGTCTCCCTCATCATCCATTGATTTCCACAAGGATGAGAGTTTGGTCACCCTTCCAACAGAAGCTGCATTTGGAGAGTATTAGCACAATATAGCAGGGATTGAAGAGTCAGCAAAAGATGGCATATTTCATTATAGCTTTTCAATGTGCCATCAGCTCTCTCAAAATACCCGATATATACCCGTCCATTTTCACAATAGCTTATTTACTCTTAAAAACTTGGATATTTTGCCCTGAGTATTTTTAAAATGGTTCTCTAGACAATCACAGCTTCTATATGTTTAGAAGTACAATGATATTCATAATTTGGGGCTTGTGCTGCTCATTAGCGCACACATTGTTTATACAAGCAAAAAAGATCAAGCTGGGTAATTTTGTATTGGTATTGGAAACAGAAATATCAGTTTGGCTTATAGAATTCTCCAAGGAGATTAGTGAGGGAAGGGAAGAGACTGCTCTCCATTTCTGCTTTCTCCAAAGAAATAGTGATCAGAAAGCCTCCCTCCCTCCCTCCCTCCTTCCAGAAGCAAACAACCAAGCTCAGAAGCACCAAGGATTCCACAATTCAACCCTGATCTTACATATATTCTCTTCTATTGGTCTTAGGAAATGAAAAAGAATGGATTTCATAGGTCCTGGTTTGTGATCACAAACTATCTTTGCTGACTTTCAAACTCAGCCACAAATATATATAAGCATTTCACATACATATATACACATACCTATATACATACAGTACATACATACATAGAGAGAGAGACATACTTGAAGAGGACTGCGAAAGGGAGAGGATTATTATTGTGCTCTTGAGGTTTTACCCAGCTCTTTTAGGTTTAAACTTCTAGAACATTCATCCTGTCAGTTGTGTCAGATGCATAGGATGTACTGTGGGCATATCTTCTAAACATTTCAAAAATCTGATTATATGATGAAATATATTTAAGTATAAAGTAATGAATTATAACACATAGTATTTAAGAGGAGAGTCATAATGGACATGGATAAACAGATACAACATGAACTGAAATTCTTAGAAAAAGAGGAGAAACTGTATTACACCAGATACTCCAATGTTGTAACATGCTGGATGATTTTGGCCCATTCTCTTTAGACCTAACTCACCTCACAGGGTTTTTGTTTTAGGGAAAATAGAACGTGGGGAGCATTAGATATGTACACAGCTGCCCCAAGCTGACCACAATAAAGGCAGGACAGAAACAGAAAGGCAGAAGGCGAGCGAATCGTTCTGTTATAGTAGATTATTGTAGATACTGTACTTTATATTTTGAGCAGGATCACACTCTTCCCATTTCTTTTAAATATTTTCCCATTTTAGGTATGAGATAAATGAATCAGCCCAGAAGCTTTATATTTCATATCAATGTTTTACTGCTCACTTTATAATGGTAATGAGCATCACTTTAGCTTTTAGTACTAATTGCACTTGTGATAATATGGAAGTTAATACTGTATCACTCTTTGGGTACTTTAAAAATGCTGCAGAGTATAATTTGCTGAGTAGGGCATTTATTCTATCTAATGGAAGGTGTATTATAAACTAAAACAGTTCCTTATAAGGAGGGCAGTAAATATGTGTATGTTTTCTGTTTCATTTATTTCTCTTTTACTGCTTGTCATTTTATCAGAGTAGAAGCATCTTTTTGGTGGAAAGAAGGTAAAAAATCAAGGAACTAAGAAAAGCATGGATAATAGAACTACTGAATGCAATAATAATGAAGGGGAACTTTACAAGCAGGACTTATACATATGTAGGATTGGGGACTGATAATCTTAAAAGTGCATTAAAGAAATCCTTAAGAGTATCAGATCTAATTGCAATAATAATTAAGGAATGTAAATATTATCTTGATACTGGTAGATTAATACCAGGATATGTAATAAGTGTGATTTGATATAAAAACTGGCTAAGCTCTAAGTAAGGATAATTTGGGAGGTGATTATTTAAAAAGAATTGATAAACTTGCTTTAATCGATTAGATAATAATATTATTAAATGGACAAACACACTTTTCATTACTTCTACCAAAAAAAACATTGTTTAGAAGATGGTTCCCAATTTGATTTTTAGTGTTAGTGGCAGGATTATTTGATTAGAAATATTAATACAGATTAATATTTGTAGTAAATTGATTGGAATAATTAATCCGTTATAAGCACTGGCTCAAGTAATAATTAATATTATTGGATTAGATAGCTTTTTCCAATTAACTAGGGTTACCAACAAACAACTGTTTGGTTTAATCTTATTGTAGATATATTACTACAGTTCATTAATAAGAATATATAGAATTTTAATATAAAAAGAGAATACATGATAATTAATTTGTTTACATATAACATGCTTATTTTTCTTGAAAACTCTATTATATATTTTACTTGTAGTTCAAATATATAAATGTTATGTAGTAGGATATTAAAATTTTGATAAATCTATTATACCAATTCTATTATATTAAACCAATCAGGAACTAAGAGCTGCCGCATTTCATACTGTAACCTAAAACTCTGTCTAGATGTTTTAACAACATTGAAACAATTATTTTCTCTTGACCTCTCTCCTCTCCTCTCATTGTTTGATTAATCAGCACTTCATGAAGATAAATCTGGATTTTACTCTAGATGTGAGCTTTGAACTTCATGAATATTATTATTATTATTATTATTATTATTATTATTATTATTATAACATAAAATGACATTACAAGACATACAACATTTATATATATACTCTCTTAACAGCTATTTCGTGGTGATATTCTAGTATTTACATTTTCTCCCTTTTCGCTTTATATTATTCCAGTTTCTTCTTGTCCCCTCTCTTTTAATTACAGTGTATTTATTAAGACCCCTATTAACTTTATATTTTCTATACATTGACATATTCATTCTTTCCTTTTTTACATTTCACCCCTATTTTTCTTCTCCGTTATTCCTATTCTACAGACACTTATATCATTTGTGACAGATTATATAATATTCCATATCCTCTTTTTCTTTAAGCTCTTTTGTTAATTTATCCATCTCGGCACACTCTAGGATTTTTTTTATCAACTCTTCTTCTGTTGGTATATTTTCTTTTTTCCAATTTTGTGTGAATACTATACGGGCAGCTGTTATGATGTGTAAGATCAAATATTTTATTTCCTTGGTGTATTTTTCCGTAAATATCCCTAATAAGAATGTCTCTGGTTTTCTGCTCATAGGTTGTTCTATTATTTTCTCTAGCCATTCTTTAATTTTAGGCCAGAACTTCTTTGCAGCTGGACATGTCTACCAGAGTTGGTAGTATGTTCCGTAGCTCTTGTTACATTTCCAACACACTGGAGATTTACTTGGAAACATTTTTGCAAGTCTAGCCAGGAGTAGATGCCATCTATGAAACATCTTCAGCTGGTTTTCCTTGTATGCCGTGGACATTGTTAGTTTTGTATTTATTTGCCACATTTTTTCCCAATTCTCCAATTCTATTGTGGTGTTAAAGTTTTTTGCCCATTTAATCATTCTATCCTTAACTATTTCTTCTTCCATTTTATATCGCAGCAAAAATTTGTATATTCTACTGATTAATTTCTCCTCCGTCCCTTGTATAATTTTGTCCAATTCATTTTGTTCAGTGCTTATTGCATTTAATTTTGTATCATCTTTATATTTCAACCGAATTTGTGTATATGTCCACCAATCAATTTCTCTATTTAGATCTTGTTCCAATTCCTGTTTTGTTTTCAGATTTCCTTGTTCTTTTAATATATCTCTATATCTTATTATCTTCTCCAACTCAGTTAAAATTTTAATGTTTTAATGTTTCTGTAGGTGAAATCCAAATTAGTATTTTTGTGTAATGTTGTTTTTTAATCTTGATCCAAATTTGTAGCAATGCATTCCTTAGCATGTGTCTTCTAAAGTAACCATGTATTTTATATGAACTTCATGAATCTTATTGGGATCTTCTAGCACAGACTTATATCTATTTAAAAAGTCTACTATGAACATAATACAAAGAAAGCATTACAGTTGTTTGAAAATATAAATAAAATTGTTGGATGAACTATATATTTTGATAATGATATAAACAGATTGGTTCATATAATTGTTATATCCACTGAATTGTTTTTGTGGTTGATACATTCTGAAGAAATTGAGAAAATTGCCTAATGGTCTTTTCATAATGAAACCTGCTATCAATCTGTTCTTCAATGTTTATCGGTCAATACAACAAAAGAAACTAAAGTTTACTACTAGTATTATAATGAACAAACACTGGAAAACTGAAAAAAATCTTTCATTGGATCAATGATATCAAAAAATGTGGAAAATTATATTAATAGAAAAATTAACACAAGATATGAACAATCTTACAACGAAAGTTAAATTTTGTCATATTACTGATACTTACAAGATATTTCATAATACACATCATATATACATGTATATGAATTTTGTTTTTGATTTACATTCAGAATATGAAAAAAATGTTTCTATTTTTTTCCCGAACAATGTTTATAGTTCTATCTCTGTTCAATTGTATTTTTTCCTGGATTTTCTTTAAAAACCATAGTGTATTGTTACTCTACATTTTTTTTATTTTAATTTATTTTTTTAAGCATGAAGTGGTTGTACTGATTTGAACTATATAGCAGGCTTTATAAGCTTTAAATTAAAAAGCAGTATCTTTATTAGGTAAAAGCATGAGACATTCCAAGCAATAATATTCATAGTCACACAAACTATTGAATTTAATATTGTATATGCTTTTCTGATTTTACCTGTATAGTTCAAAATAACCAGTGTTAGAAACAGTTTAGCTGCCTTGAATTTCCAACATAAGCAATAAAAATTCTGATAGCTCTGCAAGCTTGTTTTGGAATTAACAAATTTATGGAATTCTTGAACTGAAGCCAAAATTATAGTAACTCAGTGAAGTCCCTCAATATTGCAATATCAGTAATAATTAATGATTGAAATAATAATGCAAGTTGTTATGTTTGAAGCAGCAAATGTAGCCAGTAATATACAACACAGCACATAAAGAGAGCAATAATGTCTGTCAAAATATATTTTGGTTTTCATTTTTCACCAGACATCAGTAGGCTTTTAAAGAAGTTCTCTTCCTGTGGTGTTTTTGCCCGTAATTTTTCTAGTTCATCTAAACATTACTTATCAGTATATGAAATAATTGCAGTTTATTGCAAATCATCAGGCAGAGTGTGACATAATAATAATAATTAATTGCAGCATCAAAGAATCTGTTCAACAGGAAGAATTCTTTTCATAGGCTAATGTCCAAATAATCTCATAAGACTATAGTAAACAATATCAAGTATGTCATCTAACTAGTCCTCACGTCACTTCTTAATGTCTCTAGAGAAAAACCTGCCTGTCCCTTAACTGCCTCTCTGATGTTTTTCGCTTTGTAACACCTGAGACCAAAAGCAACGGGAAGAGAGGTGGTGCTTGTCTTAAACCTCCTTAAATTACTTATTACATTTTTTCAGAAGTGATTTAAAATTTATAGCACCATTTCTTAATTAGAAGGTTTAGACCTTTCATTTTCTGGTATTAGGGAATTTTCCTTGAGGGGAAAGAGTGAGAGGCATCATAGTCTATGCAGGAATAGGCAGGGTCACTGCTTCTTAAGTATTAACAAAGACTACAGGCAGCAATTTACATACAGCAATAGAACATTTGTGTCATGCCAGATAAGGTTAGCCACATTTCTTAGAAAATTGTATTCTATAGTGCAAAACT